CCCCAGGATTCAGACTCTTGAACCTAAAGCATTAGGCACTGATGCAGTATTGTGTACAGAAATGCTTCAGATTCATGAGTCTCAATCTTGGGGTTTGTGGTTCACGAGGAGAGGCTTCACGAGTTTTTGGGGGACAGTAAATTAAATCTTACAAAATTACTTCAGCGAACATCATTACAATTATTGACAACTTGATCTTTCAAAATATAAACGTCAATATTTTTTATACAACTCTTACAATTATTTTAGCACCAGTACAAAACAACAATTAATATAAACTCCTTCACTACCGGAACGCCACTTTTGATATTTTATTTTGGTGAACGCCAAACTATTAGAGGGGACCTGTAGGTAAGTGTCAACAGCCTAGATGCTGTTGGGTAAAGGGATATAAGCTTCTAATGGCTTTATCGGCTATCCTCATTAATTGCCAAAATACAAATTCTTCTTCTTATTATCATATGATTTATGGTAATTATGCTCTGTCTACTCAAGCCTGTGTTACACTTTATTATTAAACTATTTCTCTTGGTGATTCGTTCTCGTTAAACCCACGTGGATTTTTCCGTTGCGGTAATTCCTTCCTTTTCGAGTCTAGAGATGATCGGTCGGTAAATGTGGCGAGTAATTAGCATTGCAAAAGTAATTAAAATATTCTAAAAATCATTTGAACATTTTCTAAAAGCCATTTGAACAAGTTATAATCAAGATATCAAATTTTGGTTAACAGATCCTTAAGCAGCACATTCAGGAGTACCTATCAGGGCTGTGGAGTCGAATCGGAGAATTTCAGCGTGGAGTCGGTAAAATTGTCCAGACTCAGACTCCGACTCCGACTGAAGCTATTCTGTCCTAAGAACAAATATATGAACTCAGGCATATTCATTGCAGTGATTCCACTGATCCACTAATTTTCTTAAATTATTAAAAGAATTTATTTCCATTTTATAAGCATTATTATGAATTTATTGTAGCAGGCACAGTATAGCACTATAATTTTGGACGATAGTCTCTTCTTTACCATTTGAAATTTTGAATTATATCAAATTTTGTTTAGCTGAAAACTGCACAGAGGCTCTCAGCTACAAAACAATTAGCTACAACCTGTTTTGGTGAGATTAAGGCAAATTTAATTTAATAACTTAATCATGTAAGGTTTATCCATTTTCCTAATAAGGTATTCATTTCTTTAATGTACATAAATATATAACTTTACTTTAAAAAGAATTGTAGGATCATCATTTAGATCCACATCAGATTATGAGCTTAAACAAAATTCTATGCTGAGATCGAACTTTTAGATATACATGTAAATGGTGTTTCTAGTTAATATCTTGAATTCTTAATAAATTTATTTTTCTTTTGATTGAAACTTTGAAAGTCAAGCCTATCATCTTTTGCAGTTCTTAAATATCGTCCAGATCATTAATAAAGCTGTAGCAGTATAGCCACGGTGTTTTACTTTTACCTATGCAGGTTACAACATACAAATTAATTAGGATGGTAGAAATAGTTGTTACAAATAGGCCAGGAGTTGGTCGGAAGCATAAAATTTGAGGAGTGGATTGGTCGAAGGTTTTGTCTTCGACTCCACAGCCTAGTTTTACAGTACAATTATTGGTCATTCTGAAGTTTATTTTACATATTGACAATATATAATGCAGTGCAGTGTTGATTTAAAGAAAATAACCTTGAATTTCACCAAGTGAACTAAAATTTTCAGGTGAAATGGCACCATGGGGTGACTTCTCTTCCACCCCAATGCCTTCTCTTCTCCTTTCTCCTCCACCCCCATTCTAATTCTCATCATCATCAATCAGGAGTCCTTCTACATGCACACCTCAAAGTAAGTGTACTTTACTGCATTTACTTTTAGTTTGTATGTAATATTCGGATAACTGGAACCAATTACCCATAATCCCATTGAAACAATGGTTTCGGTTAGAAATTTTCGGTTAACGAAGCCTTCTGGAGCAGTTGTGTTGATTAACCGAGGACCACTGTATGTTGATGTATTAATTATGTAAGAATATTCTAGAATGTATTGCATCATTTTTGTTATGATTTACTTATTATTGTAAGCCTCAATCACAGTAGAACATTCTAGAATCTCCCAGGCGTCTCCGAGTTATTCTAGGTTGTGGCGTCTGACGAGGCGTATATAAGCTGGAGCGGGCTGCCAGTTAGTTGCTCGCCTCTGTTCCTAGTGTAAAGACTAAGCCTAACAGAACAACTGAAGACAATTGTTGTGATTAATATAAAGTAAGACTAAGTAATTGTACACTGTGCCAACTATATATTGGAAGTGTGGAGTTAAGCTGTGAACACATGACCCTCTTAACAGTGTTGTGAAGAATTACAGTTTATTAAGGAACAACTACAGTGCACAAGTGTGTTTCTGTGACCTGGTTTAACTCTACCTGCCTGTTGTTTGTCTGTACACCTATACCTATTACCGGAGACTGGCAGGACAACCAGTGGTAATTCGACAACTCTTAGGAGATATCTACTGCTTCAGTACATACGACCCTAGCCGCTGGTAACCAGTGGTGGAAGGAGGAGGATCCTAACAGTATTAATGTTAATTCATTAACGGGGTGTTAGTACGGAGATAGAACACCAGGTTACAGCAGCTGCCAGACCATCAGTGAGGTAGAGCCACAGTTAGGGTGTTAGAATTACAGCATCTGATGTCTCCCCCTAATCTACTGTCAGTCATCAATCCCTCGCCAAATCAGTATCGTGCAAGCTTCAGTTTTTGTGGATGGTCAATTCAATAAAGTCAATAACAATTACCTTTGTAAACTTATATTATCCATAGATGGCCTAGCCGTCCATGTCACTTGCCAAAATAATAAATTCTTGTTCATAGTTATTAGAAAATCAATTAATAATAATTTTATACTATTTTCTATATATGGTAATACCATCTATAAACATTAGTATATTCTCTCTAATTTCGTGTAATCATAAAAATTAATCACATATCACGTTGTTACCCCATACGGCTTATTAAATTGCTGCAATATTGTCCAAGCTACCAACTTCGGTTTTATTAAATATCTTTATATAACAGTTTAAGTTAAGTATCTCTCTAATTATTCTTGTTTATCATAAAATATTCCCCTAATAACAATCACTCATAAAATAGTCTTTATTATCATTGATATATATTATAGCAATATATATTAATTAAAGAGCTGATATAATAAATCCAAACAACAGCCTTACATGGCCCGTTTAATGGTATCATATAAAACTACATTTTATACTGTACTGTATAAAGAATGCTCCACAGAACCATAAATACAGCACAGGTGGAGTGTGTTAGTCATACCACTTTCGGGCTTTGTGAGCAGCTCAGTGGGACATAAGTGTGATGTGTGTGTGTTTTTTACACAGGGTAGTGTAATGCATCTGTGTGCAGCATTATGTTTGTGTGTTAAGATGCAAGCTGCCTTCCTCTGGAATCTTCAACTGCGCAGCACTGGCTAGCCTAATTAGCGAACGAAGCAACTTGCCTAAGTCTTCCCCTGCTAATTACCCACAGCTTCTTCACCACCAAGACTCTGTTGGCTGCTATAACAACCCACCACGGTAGATAGGTGCCTGGAGTAGGCCAGAAAACAGACCAGCAGGGGATCGAAGTAGCAGTGCATGGGCCTCCAGAAGGTGCAGGCCCACTGGCATGTGAACCGCGATCACAGCACCTACCGACCATTGACCGCTGCCTTGTGGAGGTTGCCAGTATGATATAAGGCCTACGGTAAACCTGAACAAAAATCTCGGTGGGGCCCCGCATCGTGGAGCCATATGCTTACAGAGCTCCACAAGACCCCAACAGCTGATTGTAGGCAGAAGAGGTGATCAACACGGGGCAAGCATGACTACACCGACGGCGAAAACAATGCCCCTGGCGGACAGGCTACTAAGGCGAAACCCAACAAGCTGGGCCGGCAGTCCGTATACTCTCTCCTTCTCCCCAGTCATTTGCAATACCTGCACCACTGGCTCAGGAAAAAGGAGAACAAGATGTGGCCAAGTTTATTGCTCCTGCACCTCACCATAAATCAACTCCGCAGCTCAGCAATCACTTAACACTCCTATCATCCTCCAAACCCTATACCTCCAAAAGTCCCAGCCTTGAGGGCCAGTGGCAGCAGAGGACGAGCAGAATGACTGGGAGTCTCTTGTCACAACTCTGCACATGGGCACAGATAAGGCAGTGGTTTATGTACACAGGATCCTCAGGCAGCAGTGCAATCGGTCCTGTCTGTGTGACTGAGCAGCCATACGAGGCCACTCTGCTAACCCCACATGGGGAGGGGCTGAAAGGGTGTGTCTAAGCATAGCCTGCCTAAAAAAAAGCCTGACTGAAGCAACTGCGATTAAAAAGCACAATCAAATCACAGATCAAATAAAAACCATACATACAACCTCTTATGGTCACTGCATAGGAATATCAGGACCCTTCTGGATACTTAACAAATGAGGATCCTGAAAGAAGAACTGCCCGCTGTGGCAGAAGAGCACAGCTAGGTGTAACATCAACATAACAGCCGATGGTGAGTCCAGGCTCACAGGCGGTCAACTCACAGAGCGGGGATCTGGCTATACCTTCTTCTGGAAGAGGGTAGAGTCTGCTGCAGAGAAACAGCATTTATGGAGTTGCTTTGCCATCCACTTCAGCATCCTGCGGGCTAACTGAAATGCCTGTTAGGATCCTTGGCGCTCATGATGCTCCAAGTGGCCCGAGTCCTCCGTCATGCCTTCTTCATCAGTTCATGCAGCCTCAACACTGGATCACAGGGATGACATCAAGAGCCTTTATGCCAAACCTTGACAGAGTGCTAACCTCTATCCCTGGAGAAGACAAGGTTGTGCTCCTTGGCAACTTCCATGCCAGAGTTGGCAGAGATGCTGACATTTGGCTGGGAGTCATAGGGAGAAATGAACTAGGCAAGTGTAATCACAATGGCCTACTCCTTCTCAGCAAGTGTGCTGCTCACAACCTCCAGAAGAGATTTTAACAATAGAGCGTCTGGAGGATCCAGCGGTAGCAAATGAGAGCAGCTCGAACATGGCCTGATAAACAACCCGACAACAAACAACCCAAATCCCAGTACCGCATTGAGTGCAAGTATTCTCGAAACTGTCATGACAAAAACCTGGAGAGAGATCCTCTGCCAGGTTGAATGAATACACCAGGACTGGTTTGATGAAAATGACCCGGATGATAAACGTGCTGCGCTAATTGACTGGCAGAACAACCCTCAGTCTAGGACCAAAGCTGATACCTTCCTCCGGAAGAAAGCAGCAGCCCAGCGTGAACTTCGCAAACTAAAGAACGACTGGTTTAAAAATAAAGCATGTGAAATGCAAAAACTTGCAGATCAAAACAAGATGCGCGAATTCTTCAACTACACTAAAATATTTTATGGGCCAATCACTCATGACACAGCCCCCCTTCGATCATCCGAAGGTAACTCCCCAATTAAAGACGAAGAAGGCGTCCGTCAACACTGAAAAGAGCACTACCATTCGCTGCTTAAACGAAACACCAATGTGGATATCCTGACTACCCAGCAGGTAGTCAGGAGCTGACCCATCTCAGCTATCCTCCATCCCTGGATGAGGTAGCTACTACCATCAAACTTTACACCAAAATATTATTATAAAAACTTTCCCATAGCTTTTGCTACGTAAACAGAAGGGCCCTCTAAATAAAAAGGGGCAGGTAAGGGAAAAAATCATGCATAGCTACATAAATATTATGAATCATGCAATCAAAATACGTCAAGAATTTTTCTGAATATTTTTGTAATTTTCCGATTTTCAGCCGGACGTTCTCCTTAAAGCTTGATAGAAAACGAAGCTCCGCAGGAACAACCCGATTCGGCTTGAGGGTTGTTGGCGATCCTAAAGCCGTATCAGTTCCATGTGGTATTCGATGGTCGAGCCTCTGATGAACTCCAGGGATGCCTCGTCTATCACAATCCGTACTCCAGCTCGCTCAAAAACCCTGAGAAAAAACAAGCAGTTGTCTTGTTCATTGTTCTTATCTTCTTTATCACTCTTACCTGATATTAGGCACCCCAATCTACTTCACTTCATGATAAAACATGCTGAAGTTAATAAAAAATCTAGTCTAAGCTGCAGTAATCTCTCTAGATAACGTTAGGATGCTTAATCATGGTGAAATATGCAGAGGAGTTAATCTTCAGGTGATCCTACCAAACATGGCAGGTTTTCTCCTGTACCAACACCAGACCATGGAGGATGGCCCTCACTACCAAACATGGCAGGTTTTCTCCTGTACCAACACTAGACCATGGAGGATGGCCTCACTACCAAACATGGCAGGTTTTTTCTCCTGTCCCAACACTAGACCATGGAGGATGGCCTCACTACCCAAACACTTGGCAGGTTTTTCTCCTGTACCAACACCAGACCATGGAGGATGGCCCTCACTACAAACATGGCAGGTTTTTCTCACTGTACCAACACCAGACCATGGAGGATGGCCCTCACTACAAACATGGCAGGTTTTCTTTCCCTGTACCAACACTAGACCATGGAGGATGGCCCTCACTACCAAACATGGCAGGTTTTTCTCTGTACCAACCTTACCAGACCATGGGATGGCCCTCACTACCAAACACTGGCAGGTTTTCTCTGTACCAACACCAGACCATGGAGGATGGCCCTCACTACCAAACATGGCAGGTTTTCTCACTGTACCAACACTTTAGACCATGGAGGATGGCCTCACTACCAAACATGGCAGGTTTTCTCCTGTCCCAACACTAGACCATGGAGGATGGCCCTCACTACCAAACATATGGCAGGTTTCTCACTACTTAACACTAGACCATGGAGGATGGCCTCACTACCAAACATGGCAGGTTTTCTCCTGTGCCAACACTAGACCATGGAGGATGGCCCTCACACCGTATATGGCAGGTTTTTTCTCCTGTGCCACTGAACCATGGGATGGCCCTCACTACCCAAACATGGCAGGTTTCTCCTGTCCCAACACTAGACCATGGAGGATATGGCCCTCACTACCAAACATGGCAGGTTTTCTCCTGTACCAACACCAGACCATGGAGGATGGCCCTCACTACCAAACATGGCAGGTTTCTCCTGTGCAACACCAGACCATGGGATGGCCCTCACTACCCAAACATGGCAGGTTTTCTCCTGTACCAACACTAGACCATGGAGGGTATGGCCTCACTGCAAACATGGCAGGTTTTCTCCTGTACCAACATAGACCATGGAGGATGGCCTCACTACCAAACATGGCAGGTTTCTCCTGTGCCAACACCATGACCATGGAGGGATGGCCCTCACTACCAAACATGGCAAGTTTTCTCCTGTGCAACACTGGGCCATGGAGGGATGGCCCTCACCTGCAAACATGGCAGGTTTTCTCCTGTACCAACACTGGTGCGGAGGATGGCCCTCTACTACCAAACATGGCAGGTTTTCTCCTGTACCAACACTAGACCATGGAGGATGGCCCTCACTACCAAACATGGCAGGTTTTCTCCTGTGCAACACCAGACCATGGAGGATGGCCCTCACACTACCAAACATGGCAGGTTTCTCCTGTACCAACACTAGACCATGGAGGATGGCCCTCTACCAAACACTGGCAGGTTTTCTCCTGTGTCCCCTCTTACTAGACCATGGAGGATGGCCCTCACTACCAAACATGGCAGGTTTTTCTCCTGTGCAACACTAGACCATGGAGGGATGGCCCTCACTACCAACCTTAGCAGGTTTTCTCCCTGTACCAACACTAGACCATGGAGGATGGCCTCACTGCAAACATGGCAGGTTTTCTCTCCTGTACCAACACTAGACCATGGAGGATGGCCTCACTACCAAACATGGCAGTTTCTCCTGTACCAACACTAGACCATGGAGGATGGCCCTCACTACCAAACATGGCAGGTTTTCTCCTGTACCAACACTAGACCATGGATGGCCTCACTGCAAACAGCGGGTTTCTCTGTCCCAACACTAGACCATGGAGGATGGCCCTCACTACCAAACACTGGCAGGTTTTCTCCTGCGCAACACCAGGCCCATGGAGGATGGCCCTCACTGCCAAACATGGCAGGTTTTCTCCTGTGTACCAACACACTAGATAGGGATGGCCCTCCCTTACCAAACATAGCGGGTTTTCTCTGTCCCAACACTGAACCATGGAGGATGGCCTCACTACCAAACATGGCGGGTTTTTCTCTACCAATACCAACACTGAACCATGGAGGATGGCCCTCACTGCAGAAGCATGGCAGGTTTTCTCCTGTCCCCGACACTAGACCATGGAGGATGGCCTCACTACCAAACATAGCGGGTTTTCTCCTGTGCCTGAACCATGGAGGATGGCCCTCACTTACCAAACATGGCAGGTTTCTCCTGTACCAACACTAGACCATGGAGGATGGCCCTCACTACCAAACATGGCAGGTTTCTCCTGTACAACACCAGACCTGGAGGATGGCCCTCACTGCAAACATGGCAGGTTTTCTCCTGTTACCAACATAGACCATGGAGGATGGCCCTCACTACCAAACATGGCAGGTTTCTCCTGTACAACACTGGGCTTAAAAGCGGAGGGATGGCCCTCACTACCAAACATGTAGGTTTTCTCCTGTACCAACACTAGACCATGGAGGATGGCCTACTGCAAACATGGCAGGTTTCTCCTCCCAACACTAGACCATGGAGGATGGCCTCACTACCAAACATGGCAGGTTTTTCTCCTGTACCCTTGCTAGACCATGGAGGACGGCCCTACTACAGAAACATGGCAGGTTTTCTCCTGTACCAACACCTGCCAGACCATGGAGGATGGCCCTCACTACCAAACATGGCAGGTTTTCTCCTGCCAACACTAGACCATGGAGGATGGCCTACTAAACATGGCAGGTTTTCTCCTGTACCAACACTAGACCATGGAGGATGGCCCTCACTACCAAACATGGCAGGTTTCTCCTGTACCAACACTAGACCATGGAGGATGGCCTCACTACCAAACATGGCAGGTTTTCTCCTGTACCAACTTCTGTGAACCTGCATGGAGGATGGCCCTCACACTACCAAACATGGCAGGTTTCTCCTGTACCAACACTAGACCATGGAGGTGGCCCTCCCTAACTGCCAAACATAGCGGGTTTTCTCACTTGTACCAACACTAGACCATGGAGGATGGCCTCACTACCAAACATGGCAGGTTTTCTCCTGTCCCAACACCAGACCATGGAGATGGCCCTCACTACCAAACATGGCAGGTTTTCTCCTGTAGCTTACTAGACACTGGAGAGTTAAGCCTCACTACCAAACATGGCAGGTTTTCTCCTGTCCCAACACTGAGACCATGGGAGGATGGCCTCACTACCAAACATGGCAGGTTTCTCCTGTACCAACACTAGACCATGGAGGATGGCCCTCACTACCAAACATGGCAGGTTTCTCCTGTACCAACACCAGACCATGGAGGATGGCCTCACTACCAAACATGGCAGGTTTTCTCCTGTACCAACACCAGACCATGGAGGACTGGGCCCTCACTTTTATGCATGGCAGGTTTTCTCCTGTCCCAACACTAGACCATGGATGGCCCTCACTACCAAACATGGCAGGTTTCTCCTGTCCCAACACCAGACCATGGAGGATGGCCCTCACTACCAAACATGGCAGGTTTTCTCCTGTCCCAACACTGAGCCATGGGATGGCCTCACTACCACCAAACACATGGCAGGTTTTCTCCTGTGCCAACACCAGATACTGAGGATGGCCCTCACTACCAAACATGGCAGGTTTCTCCTGTACCAACACTAGACCATGGAGGATGGCCCTCACTACCAAACATGGCAGGTTTTCTCCTGTACCAACACTAGACCATGGAGGATGGCCCTCACTACCAAACATGGGTTTTCTCCTGTACTGTACTTTAGACCATGGAGGATGGCCCTCACTGCAAACATGGCAGGTTTTCTCCTGTCCCAACATAGACTGCATGGAGGATGGCCCTCACTACCAAACATGGCAGGTTTTCTGCCTGTACCCAACATAGACCATGGAGGATAGCCTCACTGCCAAGCATGGCAGGTTTTTCTCCTGTACCAACACTAGACTCATGGAGGATGGCCCTCACTGCAAACACTGGCACAGGTTTCTCCTGTCCCAACACTAGACATGGAGGTGGCCCTCCTGCAAACATGGCAGGTTTCTCCTGTACCAACACCAGACCATGGAGGATGGCCCTCACACCAAACATGGCAGGTTTCTCACTGTACCTAACACTGGGTGGAGGATGGCCTGCTACCCAAACATGGCAGGTTTCTCACCATGCCACCCAACACTGTGGGATGACTCACTACTAAACATGGCAGGTTTTCTGTGCCAACACCCAGATGGAGGATGGCCCTCACTACCAAACATGGCAGGTTTTCTCCTGTACCAACACTAGACCATGGAGGATGGCCCTCACTACACCAAACATGGCAGGTTTTCTCCTGTACCAACACTAGACCATGGAGGTTGGCCTCACTGCAAACATGGCAGGTTTTTCTCCTGTACCAACACTAGACCATGGAGGATGGCCCTCACTACAAAACATGGCAGGTTTTCTCCTGTACCAACACTAGACCATGGAGGATGGCCTCACTACCAAACATGGCAGTTTCTCCTGTCTGTACTAAAGCCACTGGAGGATGGCCCCTGCTACCAAACATGGCAGGTTTTCTCTGTACCAACACCAGACCATGGAAGTGGCCCTCACTACCAAACATGGCAGGTTTTCTACTCCTGTCCCAACACACTAGACCATGGAGGATGGCCCTCACTACCAAACATGGCAGGTTCTCCTGTGTCCCAACACTAGACCATGGAGGATGGCCCTCACTGCAAACACTTGGCAGGTTTTCTCCTGTCCCAACACTGAGCCATGGAGGATGGCCTCACTACCAAACATGGCAGGTTTTCTCCTGTCCCAACACTAGACCATGGAGGATGGCCTCACTGCAAACATGGCAGGTTTCTCCTATTGCCAACACTAGACCATGGAGGATGGCCCTCACTACCAAACATGGCAGGTTTTCTCCTGTCCCAACACTAGACATGGAGGATGGCCCTCACTGCAAACATGGCAGGTTTTCTCCTGTACCAACACCAGACCATGGAGGGATGGCCCTCACTACCAAACACTTGGCAGGTTTTCTCCTGTCCCAACTTTGACCACTGGAGGATGGCCCTCACACTACCAAACATGGCAGGTTTCTCCTGTCAACACTAGACCATGGAGGATGGCCCTCACTACCAAACATGGCAGGTTTTCTCCTGTCAACACTAGACCATGGAGGATGGCCTCACCTGCCAAACATATTTGGGTTTTCTCCTGTCCAACACTAGACCATGGAGGATGGCCCTCACTACCAAACATGGCAGGTTTTCTCTGTACCAACACTAGACCATGGAGGATGGCCTCACTGCAAACATGGCAGGTTTCTCCTGTCCCAACACTAGACCATGGAGGATGGCCTCCCTTTACAAACACTGGCGCAGGTTTCTCCTCAGCTACCAACACTATGAGCCATGGGAGGATGGCCTCACTGCAAACATGGCAGGTTTTCTCCTGTACAACACTAGACCATGGAGGATGGCCCTCACTACCAAACATGGCCAGGTTTTCTCCCTGGCCACCAACACTAGACCATGGAGGATGGCCTCACTACCCCGACATGGCAGGTTTTCTCCTGTCCCAACACTAGACCATGGAGGATGGCCCTCACTACCAAACATGGCAGGTTTCTCCTGTACCAACACTAGACCATGGAGGATGGCCCTCACTACCAAACATGGCAGGTTTCTCCTGTCCCAACACTGTTCCATGGAGGATGGCCTCACTACCAAACATGGCAGGTTTTCTCCTGTCCCAGCACACACTAGACCATGGAGGATGGCCCTCCACTGCAAACACTGGCAGGTTTCTCCTGTACCAACACCAGACCATGGAGGATGGCCCTCACTACCAAACATGGCAGGTTTTCTCCTGTACCAACAGACCATGGGGATGGCTACTCACTACCAAACATAAGCAGGTTTCTCCTGTGCCAGCTTGCCTATGACTGCATGGAGACAAGCCTCACTGCAAACATGGTTTTCCTGCCATGTACCAACACTAGACCGCTGGAGGATGGCCCTCACTACCAAACATGGCAGGTTTTTCTCCTCATGCCAACACTGGAGCCATGGAGGATGGCCCTCACTACCAAACATGGCGGGTTTTCTCCTGTACCAACACTAGACCATGGAGGATGGCCCTCACTACCAAGCATGGCAGGTTTCTCTACCAACACTAGACCATGGAGGATGTGGCCTCACTGCAAACATGGCAGGTTTTCTCCTGTAACACTAGACCATGGAGATGGCCCTCACTACCAAACATGGCAGATTTTCTCCTGTACCAACACTAGACCATGGGATGGCCCTCACTACCAAACATGGCAGGTTTTCTCCTGTACCAACACCAGACCATGGAGGATGGCCTCACTACCAAACATGGCAGGTTTCTCCTGCACAACACTTGCTAGACCATGGAGGATGGCCCTCACTACCAAACACTTGTGAATTTTCTCCTGAACCAACACTAGACCATGGAGGATGGCCTACTACCCAAACATGGCAGGTTTCTCCTGTACCAACACTGAGCCATGGAGGATGGCCCTCACTGCCAAACATGGCAGGTTTCTCCTGTACTTAACACTGGAGCCATGGGAGGGATGGCCCTCTTACAAGAGCACATGAAGTTTCTCTGTGCCAACACTAGACCATGGAGGATGGCCCTCACTACCAAACATGGCGGTTTCTGTGCCAGCACAGACCATGGAGGATGGCCCTCACTACCAAACATGGCAGGTTTTCTCCTGAACCAACACTAGACCATGGAGGATGGCCCTCACTACCAAACATGGCAGGTTTTCTCCTGTACCAACACTAGACCATGGAGGATGGCCCTCACTACCAAACATGGCAGGTTTTCTCCTGTACCAACACTAGACCATGGAGGATGGCCCTCACTACCAAACATAGTGAAAAATATATGTTTTGTATAACGATGGATAAGAAAAGTAAAACAATAACTGGCTAACAATAATAAAAAAATTCTATTGGAATGAAAATCTACCATGACAAAATGTTTATAAAGGCACAGAAGAAAACAATAATAATCAGAGTTAAATTAAACAATAACGGCATAGAAAAAACTGATCACGGAGGCATAAAAACTAACTTGTCATCATCCAGCATCTGTGTGTCGAGGTCAAATTTGTACTGAAACCCCGAGCATCCTCCGCCCTCCACTATGACCCTCAAGAAGGACTTGTCATCAACAATGATCTCCTTCAGTCTGGCTATGCAGGAGTCACTTAGGATCAGGTCTGGGGTTGGACTGTCAGAGGTAATTTTCTGCGGTGTCACCGTCGAAAAGTACCTCAACACGGAGGAATACCGTCTTGCAGGGCGAGCCCTAGAGGGTGTAGGGTGACAGGTCATCTCCGTTGTCGTCAATGATTCCGTCAACATAAATAAACGTGGGCTCGTGGAGTTCAGAGCTCTAAAGTATGGTTGAACGACTGCCGACCTCACCAACAGTGATCTGAAAGAAATATTACATACAATACAAGGCAAGATAATCTTTAATAATTCCATCCTAGGTGCAACACTACAGTACTGTGCACACCTTGATTCCTTGGACACACACGGAACAGTTGCGGAAATGTGTTCCTGCACCCCGTGGTAACCCATGTCTCCAAACGGCACCGTATCAGTAAAAGTACAGTAGAACGTCGATATAACGCGAGATATGATCCAAGAGAGGTCGCTTTAAACCAAATTCACACTGAATTGAACTGTCGTTAAAATGGAATAATTTAATTTGGTACTTGAGAGAAACACAAAATACTAAAAAGACTGAGAGTCTACCCAGGTGCACCTCAGCCCATCTCCTAGAATAAACAAAACATTGTTTTTTGTAGTATTATGTTAAAACAAGCACTCATAAATCAGCACAGCTAAAATTAAGGGATGCAAAATGGTCTGTTTACTGGCTGGGAAGATGGGGGGGAGGGAGGTGAGGTGATATGTTTAACAGATGATGCCAAGGTCTGGTGCTTATGTATTTATCTGTCCTTAAGAGTGACTAAGTTTTTTCTTATAAAATGTCACTAAACTGACCTGGGAGAATATAATTAACATTGCTGGAATTCTTATAAGATAGTGATTAGTTTGAATATATAGTAAGCATGCTATAGTTTGCATTAGACATACAAATTTTAGTTCTAACTAATTTTATTAAAGGGCTAAAATTTTTATCTCTTGTGCAAAATATATGACGTTTATATTCAAATTATTCGCTGTCTTGCAAGGATTCTAGCAATGCAAATTATATTCTCCTAACTTTAGACTGTGATATTATATAAGATAACAACTTAGAGCCTATAACCACCAAACCCTGGGAGGGAGGGAGGGAGGTGACGTGTTTGACAGTTGTGCCGAAGGTGGAGTGAAGTATTTATTTGTTTATTTATTTGTATCCTTTAAATTGAGTTTTTGATTTTCGTTCAAAAAATGTCACAGAAGTGACCGGGGAGATTATAATTTTCATTGCTGGAATTCTTATAGGATAGTGATTAATTTGAATATAATCATGCTATAGTTTGCATTAGACAAAAATTTTAGTAATCATTAAGTTCATTATTTTGCGTACATGTACAGTACAGCTTTGCCCTTAGGACAGTGTAGTGTGCCCAGAGAAACATTAGGCGTGAATTTTTAAATATGATGATACAGATAGGCTCGTGCAAAATAGGAGATTCGCTTTAAATTAAAACATTGTCCTTAATTGTGGGTGTCGCTTTAAATCATTAATCCTAAATTGAATCATTTTAAATCACTGCTTGTAAATAACTGGGTAGTATTGGTTGTTTAACGACAGAGGAGATTGGTGGATAAGTTTGCTATAAGTCACATAGGTTGGCCATTTGTAGACACAGGATACCACAGGGGGTGTAGAAACATTTCCGCAACTGTACAAACAAAGTCACAAGAAGAAATACCGTATTTGCCGGCGTATAAGACGCATTTCTTTTTCTTTTCTCAAATGTACAGTATTCCAAATTACCCTGCGTCTAATACGGGCGCAGGTTCAACTCTGGCTGAAGTTGTAGCCTTCCATAAAGCTGTTGCTGAAACTGTGACTGAACCTGAAGTTGATGTTGAAGCTGCTTATGATGCTGAATTTGATAGTGTAACTCAAGTTGATGGTTTAGGCCTTCGAATAATAAAGCTGTCGAAAGAACCTTGCACAGCTGCTTTCTTTTCTCATTATACATCTTTATGTAGAGGTCATTTGTGTTTATTCAAATTTTAATGCTTTGTTCTGTTAATGGATCCACTTCAGAAAATATGTTCATTGCTTGCTCCATATAATATCCATAGACCTCTCACTTTTTTCATATCGTTTTAACACATATAGTTTCTTGGCTAAGCTTATACACTATCTATTAGCTTTTGAAACAACACTACCATCAATTGCTCTCTTGCTCATGTTGAATAGGGATGCAAAAATGTTGTAAGAAACTTGAGAAAGTTTTCTCCTGTTCCAGATGAGTGAAAACAAAAGGCCCGCCAAGCTCCGACTGTTGTTTACCACTCATGAGCCAGGCAGCTTCTTTGCGCTAGGCGGTCTTCATTTTTTTTACAGTAATTTTTATTTTCTTTATAATACCTATCGGGATTCAGTTATTATTTATATGAAAATGTAATTTTATTCAATTTTTAATATATTTTGGTCGTAAATACAAATGAAATAAGGACGGTTCGATAACGAAATTTCGGTTAACGAATTACCTCCCATAAGGATCTTCAATTCGCTTAACGAACAAAACTTTGATTAACGAAATCCTTACGAACATCACGTCTTGTTGTGAGCACTAGCTGATCAGCTGATGGACTAGTCTGCCAATTCAGTAATCTGTTTTTATATTAAAATTATTAGTTATTTTAACATTTACTTAACATATTGATAATATATGCAGTACAAGGAACTATTTTTTGAGTGCCCATCAGACGCTTGACTCAGCCACCAGGCGTCAGTTGGGCTTTGTTGACAGTGGAGTGAACATCTAATTTGTTGGTGTCTTTAATATTTTTGCATTTTTACATTGAAATTATTGGTCATTCTGAAATTTAGTTAACACATTGATAATATATAGCGCAGTGCAGTGTTGATTTAAATAAAATAATCTTGAATTACACCTAGTGAACTTAAAATTTTATTGGTGAAATGACGGCATGAAGCATGGGTCCACTGAAAGGTTATTTCTCCTCCATTCCCACTTCCGTCTCTTCTCCTTTCTCCTCCACTTTTAATTCCCATCATCATCATCAACCAGGAACCTTCTACATACACACCTCAAAGTAAGTGTACTTTACTGCATTTCTTTTTACTTTGTATGTACTTTTCGGTAAGCTGCAACCAATTATCCAATATCCCATTAAAACAATGGATTCGGTTAACGAAATTTTTGGTTAACGAAAGACCCTCTGGAATGAATTGTGTTCATTAACCGAGGGACCACTGTATTGTATTTACATGCACAAAATCATACGTTTTCCCCTACAAAACCACTTTAAAATCACTTTCAATAATTGTATGACGAAACATACTAAAAAAAATATCCACAAAATATCCTTGTAAAATAGTGGTGCGTATTATGCAGTGGTGCGTCTTATATGCCGGCAAATACGGTATTTGATTAATCTTTTACGAGGAGCACTGAGAACACTTATCTCACACCACTATTAGGTATGTACACTGGTGTTAACCCCCTGTGTGTGGGATCCCCCTCTCAATGTAATAAAATCGTCTGGCATTATTAAAATAAAAAATTAAAAGTGGCATCCCATAGTGAAGGGGTAAGTGGAGATAGTGTATGGAGTCCCCTTTGAGCTGAATAAAATCGTCTTGTGTCATCATAGTGAAGGGGTTAATCTGTGCTACCTGAAAGAATCCAACAGGTAACTGATGGCTTTGGTGGTAGAGCCAGAAGAGAGACACGGATCACTTGTAAAACAATTAAACTGACAATATGAACATATACAGTTCACACGGGGTTTACAGTACTGTAGTATATAAGGCTCTCACAGTTTACCATTGTCCACACAGGGTTTACAGTAGTTTACAAGACTCTCAGTTTAACAATGTCGTGAGTTTCCCTTCACCTGAGAGTTCCCGCCAATTTCGAGCCAATAGTATGAAGGCCTTAGGACTGTCTTCGACCAATGAGAAAGCCTATGAGGCATGACGTCATGAAAGTTGTGGAATCCCTTGTGGGCTGAAGCAGTTTGAAAAGGGGAGTCTGTGTTGGAATTTTGTGTAGGGAGGTGTGGGACGTCCGTGGTGGCGACATGGCAGGTTTTTGGGTGTATTCTATTTGGTAAATCCTGAAGTTCCCATTTATTGTGATATACATGGTCCCCATTTAACTAGCTAGGAACATAGGTTTATTGTTTTAAAGTGTAACTGTTAAACCCAAACATAAAGTATTCAATAAATACAGTAACCATTATTAAAATAGTCTTTTTCTCCTCAAATTTAATTTTTATTACTCTATATTTTTTTACCCCTCCCCAGGCCCTGTTGATGACCTGTGTCTGGGTGTGGGCTATTACCATATAAATAAAGCTACATTTCACAGTATTATTCAGGGCACATTACTTTGATAAACCTAATTTGTGCATTATAAGGAATAAATAATTATATTTTACAGTATTATTCAGGGCATATTACTTTGATAAAACTAATTTGTGCATCATAAGGAATAAATTATAATATTTTGCAGTATTATTCAGGGCATATTAGTTTGATTAAACTAATTTGTGCATCATAAGGAATAAATTATTATCTTTTACAGTATTATTCAGGGCATATTACTTTGGAAAAAACTAATTTGTGCATCATAAGGAATAAATTATTCTATTTTACAGTACAGTAATACCCCGCTTTACGCGGTATCACTTTCCGGGATGTCACATTTACGCGGTACCTCGCCAGAACCGGACTTTCACTTTACGCGGTGCATCTACTCATATACGCGGGAAGCGGGGTGGCAGGATGCGCACAAGGTTGCCCAGTCATCAAAACATTACCGAGTTCTTCACCCGCCACCCACCACAGCCAGCCCAAGTCAGTGATAGTGAGGATATGGACTTATATGGACTTTGAGGGGTTTGACAAAGAGTCCCTGCAAGCCTATGTGGTGGATAGTGATACAAGTGATACAGGTGAGGGCCAATAATCTGCCCTCTGCCTCGGAACCAACCCCCCATCCGTGTGTGTCCAGCCATCTTTTCTACTAATGTAAGTATTAAAAAAACTAATATTATTGATATTTCTCTTAATTATTAATTGTGTGTGCATACCATCATAAAATTAAGATGTAATTTTTACTACAATGTAGGTAATGTGTATGAAAAAGTGGAGTTTGGGGGTCAGGCCAGTCTCTATTGGAATTAATCCCATATGTTCTGTTGTTCACTTTACGCGGTTTTCACTTTCCGCGGTACCCCATGGGTTCAATTGGCCGCGTAAATCGG